ATCCTACACTCTCTTAAGTCACTCATTCTATCTAGGCAACAGTATTTAAGCCATTATAACATAATATAGTGCTTAGAAGAAGAGAAAAAAACCTGAAGCTTCCCTGTCACATGGTCTTGCTGCATTTTTGATAATTAAGGCCACGCCTCCAAGCTGGACCAAGCAGGACCAAAGCTGGGAGTTGCTGGAGCCTGGAGCAGTTTGCCACTTCTGTAAGCATGCAAAAGCAAGTGTAACTGCAGCTAGGAAGCTAGCTGATGTGATAATCCCTTGGCCTCAAGAGCACACTTTGTAAATTTTTTGCATAGCATGTTTTTAATAGATAGTGGCCACAACAAAAGCTGTGGTTTTGAAACCCATGATGTTGTTTAAAATAAGAGTGAAATAAGTATAAATATAGTGTATAAATAAATGATAAATCTTGAGATGTTAATAGGAATTTATGAACACATTTTACCAATTTTTAGAGGGACTCCAGAGTCCCATCATACTTTTCACAAGTGCCTAGTCCATCACTTTTGATCTATATATTATATCATTTATACTGGCTTAGGTTAGCTAAGCCTAACACCTCCCAAACAGCTTTATTCATTCATTCATTCTGTGTGCTCTCTTTTGTTTTCAAGAATGTGTATCTTCAGAACTGCGCGCTCTAAATCTATCAGACCTTTTTTTCTGTTGGAAAAAGTCTTTCTTTGCTACTTCCAGTTGGTTAGAGAGCAGTACTACATACAAGAATCTCTCAAACTCGTGAGAAAATGCCCAGCAATAACGACACTACTGTAGAGGTAAGTAACACTTTTGTCTAGTAGATTTAAACTATTTCTTCATTTAATATGTGTAGGATTCATAAAATTGCACTTCGTGGCAAGTTACAGCAACTTTTGTCTGGACTACAACGACATAAATGTCTTCCCCCACAAGCCCCACGTCAGATCCTAAGCTCGAGACATTCCAATTTATTTATGCAGCATTGTTTGTATCATTATAATAACATTTTTTTATTGTTTAGACGACAATTTTTGTAAATATTCTTCATTTTATTTCTCCTTGTTTCTCGATGGGTCGGCATGGATTGAAGGCAGTCAAGGCACACCTCCAGTGCTCCTCCTTCACACTATCACGTTTTTCATTCCTCCATTTCAGTAAGGTTTTTTATAATGATATTATTTTTATGAATTATTTCAAGAACTAAACATAAACAAGTTATTTGCCTGGTCAGGCTACCAGTATTAATACAGTCTGCCCAGTGAGTTAGTCTTTTAGTAACCATTTTTGACACTTGTCTTCATAGGATCTATTACTGCTGGTCAGGCTACCACTATTATTTCAATAATAATAACAAGTCTGCCCAGTGAGTTAGTCTTTATTTATAGTAACAATTTTCGACATTTGTCTTCATAGGATCTTTTACGCTACTAATTGTGCCTTCACCACATTCACCTGCCCATTGAGTTTTTCTTTGTCGAGCCAGAGTACTCTTGTCAGAAATGATCAGCATAGAAGCTTGGCGTGCATGTATAGGATCATTCAAAAGTAGCAGGTATGGGGTTTCTTTGAAAGGGCCTAAGATACATGCAAAGCATAATATGAATAATGTCAATATCTTGATTGTGATGGTTTTTGTGTTTCCCTGTATCATCATGTGTATACTTGGACTTCTAATGAATGCATTATATGCACAGCACTTTGCCCTGTCTAGTTGTAGTCATGACTTGAAATTTTGCTTGGTTTTGTTCATTCTGTTATGTTTTTTGGCTTTTTTTGATCTCATTCTCCTTTGTGGAGATGTAGAGACTAACCCAGGGCCAACTAAAAGTTGTCCTAACTGTTCCATGTTGTTACATATTAGGAAAATAGTTTGTAGCCATTGTGGCTATATCTTTGCTAAGGGTAAGGGTTCTTGTGCTTCTATTAAAAGTGCTAAAACATTGACAGAGACGTCAAGCATGCATGTAGAACAACATAGCATCGAAAAAAGGAAAAAAAATAAAGAACAAAATGCTACAAGAAGAGCCTTGCTGACTACCGAAGAAAAAGAACTTTATCAAGAAGCTGATAGATTAGCAAAATTACAGAAAAAAAATGAAGAAACAGCTGAACAAGCATTAAAAAGACGAACTATGAACATAAGCAGCAAAAACAAAAAATTTGCTCTTGAAACAGAAGAGCAAACGCTTGAAAGACGAGCCAGGAACTTAAACAGCAAAAGGAAGGCAATGGCTCTTGAAACAGAAGAGCAAATGCTTGAAAGACGAACCAGGAACTTAAACAGCAAAAGGAAGGCAATAACTCTCGAAACAGAAGAGCAAACGCTTGAAAGACGAGACAGGAACTTAAACAGCAAAAGGAAGGCAATGGCTCATGAGAGTGAAGAAGCTTCTGTTGAGAGAAAGGAGAAAAATAAGAATTCCACTTCTAAACGTCGAAAATTAGAGACCAATGAACAGACAGCAACACGTAGACAAAATGACCGTGCCTGTAAATCAAAGCGTCGATTATTTGTAGAAACAAGTTACGAAAAAGAAGTAAGGCGTCACAAAGATCAAGAACGCCATAAATTAAGTCGTCTTTCTTCAACCGTAGAAAAGGCAACTGCTAAGTTTTTGGCAAAAATAAAAGTAGGGGCACAATTTGTCTGTATTTGTTGCAACAGACTA